ACAATTAATTATACAATCAATCATATAATTAATGTACAACATCTAAAACACATTATGTTACCTCAACAATCTCAAATAATCAAAATCCACCTCCACATGCTCTAAGCATCCATAACCCAACCCTTTATTACACCATCTAAAATCAACCAACACATTTACATTTCGATGACAATCAAGCAACTTGAAACTCTAACAATCCAACATAAACAAGGTTCTAGCTTCCATTGTCTTAAAATTTAAGAGGAAAAAAAATGGAAACTAGCTCTGAGCTGCTTTAGAAACTTTGCACAACTCAACAATCTTGATTCACGTTTCTACTTACCTGAATTAACAAACACAACCAAATCAAAACTTTGGAGAAAAGATCACCCTCAAGAGAAGGTTTAGAGAAAAAGAGAAACTCATTGACTCCATAACTCTCTAACTTATCTCTCTAAGGTTCTCAAGAACTAAACATATGAAATTCAATTGTTAAAAGAAATCTTATATACTACTCCCTCAAGGTCAAACTAATAAACCTTTGTCCAGAGAAATTATTTAAAATATCAAAAGACTTCTCAAGATTTTCTTAACTCCTAGAGTTTCTCAACAAAACACTTCAAAAACACCTCAACATGTAATTATTACTAAAAGACAATAATTAACGAGGAAAAAAAAACCTTACTGTGTTATAACGACAAAAGTTGAAAAAAGAAAATAAGAAAAGAAAAACAATAAAATTAATCATTTCTCACCTTTGATATTGTGACACTACAAAAATTGTTATATACAGTGACATACAAAAAGTGTCATTATAAATATAATGTATATAGGTATAAATCTATTTGAGATATAATTACACATAATTTTAATATTAATTTTAAATGAGATTCAGCAACATATATTGTATACCACTATAGTTTATATTTTTTAACAATACATCAATATATATATATATATATATAATATCTATAGTGTAGGTGAAATTAATTTTTAGCAACGAGTATTATATCACTATAAGATGTGTATCATTATATGACAATTTTCTTGTGGTGTGAGTAAAAGTATTTTTTAAATATAAAAAATAAAAATTTTCATAAAACATAACTTTTAAAATTAATGGTTAAAAAATACAATTTTTTTTTTAAAAAAAGAAGATTACTATAAAATTTTAAAATAAAGCACTAAAAGAAAGATTTTATAAATCAGTTGAAATGAAAAAAATAAAAGAAACATCAAATTATACCATATAATAGCCCGAGACTTAACATTTTTTAGTAGCATGTGTTGCCCTAAACAGATTAAAGAAAAAAATTTACAGATGATAAACACAATAAACCTTTAATTTTAATTTGTTAGCATATAAAAATAAAAAATAAATTTTAATGAAATGAAGATAAAAAAAAATAAAAAGTAAAAAAAGTCCCCATTATATTAATTTCAATCACCCGAATAATTTAAATTAATATATATATATATATAGATGTTATTAAAATATCTATTTATTACAACCATTTTAATTATTATAATAAATATTTTATGAATACAAAGAATCTTCGGCGAAATAATTTTTTTTAATATATTCGTTATAATCATTTTAGTTAATTCAAATTAAAATATGTGTTGATTAATATTATTTTATTATATTTAACTTTTTTTTGAAGGGTTTATTATAATTAACTTAATTACTATAATTAAATGTAATAATATGATTTTATGAATTTAAAAATTACAAAAATTAGACAGAAAATAACAAATATAGTGATATTAGGTTTTTATCTATCCATATATAGTGAGATTAGATGACTTGCTCTTTTTAATAATTAACAATAAATAGATAATAAAATAATAGATATTCCGATAACTTGCTAGCTTACGTGTGTTTAAAGTGAAAAATTCTAAAAAATTGTAATATAAATATGGTTAGTTTAACTTTTTGTTTGGTTATTTATTATATTTTAAAACTAATATAGTGAATATTTAAAATTAACTGGATTTCACAAACAAAAACTGGAAAGTTTTCCTTATTATGGTTTAGCTACCGAAGTTTTGTGGTGAATCAATAAAGATTCAGAAATTTTGAGCTGAAACCATGTGCCGTACACTAGTATTGTAAATCAGGGAAACTTTTAGTCAATAGAAGCCTCAGGGAAACCGCTATTTCGTATTTCCACAAATCCCCCATCTATATAAAACTCTAATGCTGATTTTTTTTAAACATATAAGTTATCTTATTTAATTTTTTTAAAGGCATATATTTTCTTTCCTATTATTTTCCTTTTCATCATTAAAATATTAAAAATTACTACCTTTGCATAGATCGTTGTAGTATATACAGATTAAAAAAAAAACAAGATCATTGTAGTATATAAAAATACTCAACGATAATCATATATAAAACTGAATAGGGTAACAAAATTAAGTCCCTTGACTTTAGCTTTTGATAAAGAGGAAGAGAACACAGGTTTGAACTCCATAATATCTTGTTAATAAAAAGAAGTAACAAAAAATATTTAGAAGTATATGATTGGAGGAATTTCTAAATTATATTGATAATCAATTCTATGATTCAAGCTTCATCAAGCAGCGATTGCGTCTCCATGTGATCAGAGATGATTAATTACTTATATATATTGTATGGTTGAAGTCATGTAGTTAACTCCCATTTCAATTTTAGATTGATTCATGAATGTGTAGTTTTGTTTTATGAATTTTGTTTTATGAATTTTTGTTTGACAATATATTTTCTTTTCTCAATCCGTGGATGGGAGACTATCGATATCTATATTGGTATATCATCTTCAATAATACAAAGAAAAATTAACAAATTAAGTAAAAAATCTTTGATGAAGCCTTTACATGCATTTTTTAATATCTAATTCGCACTTTGTGCATGTTAGTTAATAGTTTGATTCTACGTTTTTATATTATTCTAGCTAAATGTAGAATTCTAAACTTTTGCTCGTGAGTATAAATGAAATCAAGTTTTATTACTTTTTTGGTATGCAATAATGAAAAAAGATTAAGTTTGGATTATAGAGGATATATTATATTGTGCAGAGAATATCAAATATTCTAGAGAGATGTTTTCTCCTTATTGCCAAAGAATTACAATTTGTAGAAGTGCATGTGTAGTATTTCCACTATTCAGTGAAACAAATCAATATGATTTTATTGAGTTTCCAATGCAGACATCGACTTAGAGTAGCTTGATCACATCCAGATGACTTACGAATCTCCATTTATCAATTCTACGAATCTTCATCTATCAATGGCCTTGAGGCCTTCGTCATTGCTGATCCTCCTACTGGTATTTTTATTAGTTCATGTAACTTTTTATTTTTTTCCTTCTTCATATTCTGCTATTATCGTTTTCATGGCATAAGCCTCGTGGCCGATGAATGAGAGATTTTCATGCTATCATTCTTGATATCTTCTTTTTCTTCACTTATTCATTTGAACATATTATCACGCAATTCATAATGTTTCACCATTTAAGTTTTAAAATTGGTTTATTTGATTTTCGTAAAATAATTTGGCAATTCCTTAGCAATTTGGACTCGTAGAATTAACATCACCCTAATATGTGTCAGACTATGCTCAAAATTGCTCTTTTCAATTGTTTATCTCATTTATCAATATTATAAAATGTCAAATATGTTTAAATATCTTTAATTTTCTTCATAAAAATAAGAATAATGTTCAAGGTTCTTCGACTTATGAAGATGGAAGTCGAAATAAGTTTTTCTCAAATATCTCGTCGTATCTTTGATGGAGAAAATTAAAGATATTTAGATTTTTTTTCCAGTTTTTCTTAACTCATTATCTTTAGATACTTATTTGAATTTCATCTTCGAATTTAACCTTCCTCTTTTTCATACCTGTTCTTTCCCTCTTTTTACTTTGTTCATATACAACTTATAGGTTAGTTTGTATTTGTTGTATTTTGTATTTTGTATGTTATTTGTAGTTTTTTTTCTAGATAAATATTATCTATTTTTATTAATGGGTTCTCTATTTATAAAACAAAATTGTAATACAAAAATTTGAATACTAACAATATGTAATTTCAACTTATAATATTAATTACTTAAATGATAAGAATAATATTTTTATCTTTAACTAACTGATATCATAAAAATTCAACGCATAATAAACTTCATAAAAACTAAGTTATCATATTTTCAAACTCAAGATATTTAGGTATTTACTCAACAAGTATTTCCTTTGTTATTCCAAAATTGGATATTACATAAATAATTCAACTAAAATATTATTTTATTTATTTATTTATTTATTTTTGAAATTTCTTGGCAATGACTATATGTCATCCGCACTTGTGAGTTTCCTCAATGAAGTACAATTTTGAATATTAGAACCTTGCACACCGAAACAATGGGTCCTTAGAATTAAAGTGCAATATTAAAAAAAAATGGAACTCTCCTAATGTGGCAAATAAAAGACAGTTGTTCACATAATAGTGGTCACGTTAGAGAGGACATGAAAACCCTCTATCTTAAACAAGGAATTGCCAAATAAATTAGTTGATTTTATTGGAGTATAAGCACAACCCAATCACAATAAGCATGTTTTTTTTTAAATGTTTGTATACTTATCCGTGTTAAACAAACATTTGTTGTAGGCATTTAGTGCATTGACAATTCTCATCTTTTTGACACCATGCTGGTATTACATGTTCATACATATGGAGAACCATGTGAATTTGAACTCAAGAAACATCGTGTCCCAATTGCAATCAGAAATTAAGCACTCAGCTGAACTGTTAAACCCTATGAAATCATCATCAACCAATTTAGCAAGATTTCTGAGTTCAACCCTTGATACAACTTATATCTCCTTCTCTGATATTGAAGGGAAGGTTAGTTTATTAGCATATTGTTGATTTTTTATTTTATTTTTTTCTTCAAATTATATAAAGCACAACCCAATCACAATAAGCATGTTTTTTTTTAAATGTTTGTATACTTATCCGTGTTAAACAAACATTTGTTGTAGGCATTTAGTGCATTGACAATTCTCATCTTTTTGACACCATGCTGGTATTACATGTTCATACATATGGAGAACCATGTGAATTTGAACTCAAGAAACATCGTGTCCCAATTGCAATCAGAAATTAAGCACTCAGCTGAACTGTTAAACCCTATGAAATCATCATCAACCAATTTAGCAAGATTTCTGAATTCAACCCTTGATACAACTTATATCTCCTTCTCTGATATTGAACGGAAGGTTAGTTTATTAGCATATTGTTGATTTTTTATTTTCTTTTTTTCTTCAAATTATATGGGTGCACTCATGTAAGAATATTTAGCTACAGAGACATGAAAATCATAAAAATATATACATGATCAAATTATAAGTTGATCAATAATCACATGATCACTTTAAAATTATATATATATATATACTTAAGTCATTCAAATATGATATGATAGTTTATATTCAGTATTATCATTTTCCTTAACTAAGTGTTTTATAGGAGCTGTTCCATATAAAGAATTTTTTCTTTGTGGTTTTAATTATTTGCTTTGTATGTTATAGGTAGCTCCGTCATTGTTTCAAGCATTTGAGACAGTTCCATACCTAGCTGAAATCTCATACGTAGGGACGGAAGGTCTCTTTTTCTCTTACTACACTGATCATGATCGAGCTCTAGCTATGTACTCTAACTTATCATCTAGTTGGGGTGCCTCAAACAAAACCTATATTCAACCTGTGAATCGTGAAACTGGAGAGGTTTATGGGGAAGTCTTAGACATAATATCTAACCCTTTTCTGAATGCAAGTTGGATTGAGGAAGGAATTGATGAGTCAAATGGGTTTGCTTCATTGGGAACCAAGTGGGACAATGATGATGTTCTTTTGTTTCTCAGTTCAGCTAGAATCACGAGTAAAGGAGTGATCTCTATGGGGTTTTCAGCAAAAGCTATATCTGATTTTGTCACTCGCATTGACCAACAAGGCGTGAGATCTTATTTGGCCACCAAAGATGGAAATGTTCTTGTGCAAGGCTTTCAACATACCCACTTCGTCGACTTTTATAATGATACAGTTTTCTTCAAATCACTGAATGCAAATGACGATCTCACGAGTAATGACGCCACTCTCTCGTGCAAGGATGAAGCTGCTACTTCTAGTTTGAATATTTGGGATACTAAATATTTAGTTAAATGCTACACCATGGATATAATGGGAATAGAATCGGTACGTTATATTTGTTATACCCTGTTCGTTGCTAATGTAAGATTGAATAGTTTCCATGTTTCTGATTGGAATACTACAATAAGATATCAAAAAGTTTTAATTTTCAAATAATGGAATATTGTTTCTTTTGTTTGATGATATTTCAGGTGTATGTCTTGGCTTTCCCACAAAAAGGATTTGCGAGCTTTGATCTCAATTACAAGAAAGAGGGATTGATATTATTTGTAGCAACGATGGTCACTGCATTTATTGCTTTGTTCAGTTTTCTATGCATAACCTGCAAAGCCATGAGGCGAGACATGCATTTGTGTGCCTCACTCATCGAAAAGTCGGAAGCGACCCAACGAGCTGAGAAAAAGAATAAGAATAAGAGCAATGCTCTTGCAAGTGCAAGCCATGATGTTCGTGCTTCTCTCGCAGGCATCACCGGCTTGATAGATATTTCTTATGAGTTAGTGGTCCCCGGTTCAGAATTGGAGACCAATTTGAAACAAATGAGTAGTTGTACCCATGACTTACTAGGTAATTAACATCACCCATTCATGCTAAATAAATTTTGTCATTCTAATATAATATTCTATCATTAGTCATTACATTGTATCATATAATATAATAGCTTGGTTAACTTTTTTTCTTTCTATACATTAGGACTGTTGAATTCTATACTTGACACAAGCAAAATAGAGTCAGGGAAAATGCCTCTTGAGGAAGAGGAGTTTAATGTGTTCCTTCTCCTAGAAGATGTGGTTGACTTTTACTATCCCGTGGCTATGAAGAAAGGTGTAGATATTGTATTGGACCCTTGTGATGGTTCTGTTATGAGATATTCACGCGTGAAAGGTGACAGGGGAAAACTGAAACAAGTTTTGAGTAATTTGCTGAGCAATGCTGTTAAATTTACTAATGAGGGGCACATAGCGGTTCGTGCATGGACTAAGAAGCCAAGATTGCAGAACTCAACAGTCACTTGTAGCCAATGGAGTTTCAAGAAATATTTATCACACTTATTTCGTAACAAAAAGGAAGCACGCGGTGACATGGAAACCCTGCATTCAGTCCGAGAAGAACCACGTTTCATGGATTTTATATTTGACGTGGATGACACGGGAAAAGGAATTCCTAAAGAGAATTACAAGTCTGTGTTCGAGGATTATGTCCAAGTTAAAGAAACTGCTTTGGGCCAAGGAGGAACTGGCTTGGGACTTGGGATTGTGCAGAGCTTGGTAAGTATTACTTCTTGTCTAACAACTGTGAATTATATGTTCATTGAGCCACATAAATATTCTCTTGAGAAAACACGCACCAACATTATGTTATATGTTTTTTACATTGCAATCTTCTCATAAAAAAAACTTTGCGTAAGTTTGTTATTTTTATAATAAATGATACCTCATGTGAATTATTTGTTTACTGATAATTGATATACGTGTAAAGTAATTTTTACATTATCATAAGTAAAAAGTCATATCAAGTGTGATATTTTATTGGTTGACTGTGTAAAATTATCAATGTATTACTATTAAACTCTTATAATAATTGGACTATACATGATTCTCATAACAATTCAATCTTAGTCATATTGATTTTTGATTTGTTAATTGTAAGTATACATGCTTATTAAACTCATTTTTTTTAGGTGTGTTTGATGCATGGAGATATTGAAATTATAGAGAAGGATACCGGTGAAAAAGGAACATGTTTCAGGTTCAATGTGCTTCTTACATGTGAGAATGAGACAATGATCGATGGTAGCACAATGGATGATATTGAGTGTGGATCAAGAGACAAAATCCAAGCTCAGGAGCAAACAATGCATGCTACGAGTTCTAGCTTTAGAGCATGTTCCATGAGTCCTAGGTTACATATTTTTAGCTCTAGTCCTAAGCCTGAGCCTTCTCTCGTGGTTCTTTTCATCATTGACAAGGAGCGTCTAAGGACATTACAAAGGTTCATGGAGAGGATAGGGATCAAAGTTAAAGTTGTAAATTCAGAGCAAGATTTGTTGGATACTCTTAAGAAGATCAAGCAAAAGCATCAATATTCTGATGAGTCTTCAGATTTGAGTTCTCAATCAACATCTCATAATTCTCCTGTTATATCCACAAGAGTTCCTTTGAGTTCTATGGATGTAATTGAGAACATGCCTTTAGTTTTCAAGAAGACAGATATTGGAGCTACCCCTGGCTTCATCCTTATTGTGATTGATTCTCTTGCACCACAATTTGTTGAGCTTTACAAGATTGTATCTAGCTTCAAAAGAGAGTTCTGCAACACCTGTAAGGTGGTTTTGTTGGACAAGCCTTTTGCGCGTAATACCAACTTCAATGTCATTGATCAAAATGACATTGTTATATCCAAACCATTTCATGGTAGTCGTTTGTTTCATACCATAAAGCTTCTTCCTGAATTTGGTGGGGAGTGCCAATTGAGTTCTACTAAGGGTAAGAGGAAAATTACTAGTGAGAGAAATTCATTGAGGACTTGTGAGGATTCAAGCATGTCAAAATACAGGTCTCCAACAAATAATGGAAGCACATTTCAAAGTGGTGAACAAATTTGGAAGGGAAGTCGACTTAAGGAAATACGAAGTCATGTTTATCAAGGAGAAATACAAGAATGTGGGGACTCATCAGGGTGTAAGAAACCCTTGAGTGGTAAGAAGTTTTTGGTTGCTGAGGACTCTGATTTGTTACGCAAGTTAGCTTCAGTTACTTTGATTTCTCTTGGTGCAACTATTGAGCAGTGTGAGAATGGTCAACAAGCTGTTCAACTAGTGCGTGAAGCTCTATCTCGGAATTTTTCTAATCCTCCTTATGATTACATCTTAATGGATTGTCAGGTAATCACTACTTACTATATTTTTTCTTTCTACTTGTCATTTTATTTCTGAGTTAAATTCGAATTATGATCCTCAAATCAAGTCTTTTGACACAATAATTATAACGTCTATCTTAGAATACAAAAAGTAAATATAATATTCTTAGTTGATCAATGAAAATCACACTCCATAAACTGTAAATTAATCTTTGATTATCAATTTTAAAATTATGCATGAATCATATTTACGAAGAAAAAAAAATGCTCATAAGATGTTACTCTCATGATATTTGATTATTCATTATTATAACAGTATGTGATTTAATTTTGTATGATTGACTGAATAGATGCCAGTAGTGGATGGGCTTGAAGCAACAAAGGAGATACGAAAGATGGAGAAACGGTATGGTGTCCACATTCCTATCATTGCATTGACTGCATGCACTGAAAAAATGGCGGTAGAGACTGGAATAGACTATCATATAGTCAAGCCAATTAAGAGAGAGCTTTTACTTGAAGCCATCAAATGTATACATGCCAATACCTCATAAATGCCTGAATATTTTTGCACATTTTAATGTTAATTCTGTACATTTTGAAGAATAAGATTTTTAAATTTAATCGATGCAGCCAAAAGAGATGCCATATTAATTGAACAAAAAAAAAAGGATTGCTAATTGATTTCGGATTACTTAACTAAATTTTAGTATCAGAGAGTTTTCATTCTCAACTAAAGCACCGTTTAAGAAATAAGATTAGAATAAAAATCCTAACAAAATTATAAAAATGTATGTAATTATTATTTAATTTACCGAAATATATTTTTTAAAAATCAATTACCATAAAAATAGATTTATTGTTTATGGGGAAAATTCAAGGGATTTAAAAAATGAAGCCAAAACAAATGTCCTAAACAAGTAAACATTAAATCATTAATAACAAATTTGAATTACATAAAATTTTCTTGTTTCATATCTTGTTTTGTAACTCAACATTAGCAGCGAGGAGTATTGCATCATATGTTATTGTACATAGTGTTTTTTATTTAATTTAATGATTTATTGTAGGCATTGAGTCTGATTAATTGGATAACAAATTCATCGAATTATACAACCTAATTATAATGGGATGATATGAAAGTCATCCAATCTAATATGTAAACATGTAATTTAATTAAATTGGATAGTTTGAAATCCGCGTACACTCTTATATAACACTTTCAATTATCTGTGTGAATGTAAGCTACCGGAAATTAAATTGAGAAAGTGTTACTGTTGTGCAAGGTTTGGTTCCTCATTCATGTGTGTCATTTGTTTGTATGGTTTTTGCGTAAATTAAGCTTATAGTGAACGTTGAATGACGCAGTTTATCCTATTTGAATTGCTCCACCGAAGCCGTCCAATTAAAGTTGAATATGGAAGTACTCGAATATAATTTTATGAATTAAATATATTTTTAATCCATAAATTTTTGTCAATTTCTTAGTCTCTAAATAAATTTTATTTGACTTTAATCCCTTGAATTTTCTCCATAAACAATAAATCTTAACTCTAGGGACCAAAAATGTTAACCAAAAAATAAATCAAAAACTTAAACTAGTAAAACATTTATTTAATGATTAAAATAAAATTCAACAGAAATTCTAAAACTACAAAACATATTTAATCCTCTTTTTTTTAATAACATGGATACTCTAAGTGCGTTTGGGAAAAGATGTTTTCCCAAGTTTTCAGCTGTTTCTAACGAAAAAAGCTTTTTTTTAATTGTATAATTGGAAAATAGCTTAAATTTTTTAACAGCTTTTTTTTTAAATTATAATATGAAAATTTAAAGTTTATAGTTGTTTTAACAATTGTTTTTCTAAATTGATTTACTGCATAATTTATTTATTTTTTTTATATCCAAATGAAATTAAACATCTCAGTCATTTATCAGCAAACTTATTCCAACAAAAATAATCGTATTATTTAAATAATATAATTTTCACTGCTTTCCCTAACACCCTAACAAGCAGGAAATGGAAGGATTTATTCCATTGAACCTTAAACTCGGCTTTAGTGGAGGCCTAGGCAAAATCACCAAAAATTACAATCACGAAATCAACGATAAAAAGCCGAAGATGTGCCTCATAAAGATACTTGGCATTAAAAAGGATGAGTTAGTAGATATATACACATGTGAAAGCTGATATTTACCACCACCTATGGCCTCCATTCTATAAGACCAACTTAAATACCAACTAATTCTCCAAAATTGGATTAAAGAATGAAAAACAATGTTAGAAGAAACCTATAAATCCCAATTTGGGCTTTCTATATCCTTTCAAGTTTCCTTCTAAACCATTCTGATATTCTCTTGATGTTGCTCAACAGCTGACCATTTTTTGTGATTGTAAAGAAGTCTTCGGCATTTGCTAACATTACCAGTATATCATGCTTGACACCTTCCACACTTCGATAGTAGTCATTCCTCAACCTTGATTGAATCAATTCAGGATAGAATGGTGCAGGAAACCTGTAATACAAATCCAAAGATGACAAATTGTTAAGATCACGTATTTAAACTGTCGCTTTCTCTTTTTTACTTTTTGTGTACTTGATTTCAAGGCACGGAAATTGCCGGAACAGGGCTGCATAAAAATATCACTGGCATACCAGTGCTCTGTGCCTTTCTACACAGAAACTTTTAGTACCTGTTTGAAAACTCTAATTTCTCAGCTACGTGGTTCAGTGCTTGGATATCAAACTTCTCCTGAATTGAAGGAAAAAACAATGAGAAACGTTACATCAACCCCCTTTAAAACAATTAGAACTTTGCAACTTGTATCAACAAGACTAGTTCAGTGAAAAAACAGGTAGGTTAAGAGAAATAAAACTTCACATCAAGTTACCCTGTGGTCTAATTTAGTGAAATAGGACAGCAGCTTATCTCTGATTTCATGATCAATGTGGGGATGCTCCAATAGAATCTCGGGATCACATAGTTCCCACGGACTATGCATATGATTCTCTGATGGATCAATCTTGTACTGGATAAGATACCTTTCCCAGGGACTGTCAGGGAAGTCATGAGATTTGGCCTGAACTGAAATAATTCGACCATCCCACCAATTTCCACCTTTCCCATCTTCATTTCTCCACCAGACCATGCATTTATCTCTTGAAGACCAATTTCTCTTCATGGCAGTATCATACCATGTTTTCTCAACAACAAAATCAGGGAAGTTAATCAATTCAGGTAGAGTTAATTTAAATGATTTTCCATACACATTTGAAGAAGGGTCCACAAATCTAAGTTTAAGCTTACAACAGCTATCCCCAGAGCCTGGGAGCTCCGCATACTCTAGCTCTTCAACCTTGCAAATTTCACAAGCACTTAGTCCTGTGAATAATCTCCATGGACCTGATTCAGATGACGAACATGACTCCATGTATTCTTGATGGCCCTGGCAATAAAATATGCTCAAGAAAATGAATAGGGAAACAGATTACAGAACCAATCAAATAAGGTTAAGAACATAAAATAGGAAACAGGTTGGGGAAACTTGCATTCCAAAAAAAAACTACTAAGTATTACAATTTACAAACCATAAGGGGAAAAAGTCAAGACATAAACTACCTGTCTCAGGTACACAACTTCATCACCAAGTTGAGGAATATACCGGTAACCCCCTTCAATCTCAGAGAGCATCAGCCATGACAATTTTTTGACATGGTGATTTGACATCCTTCGGGTTAAAGTACCAGGGTCATTGGCAAAATATTCACCACGCCTGCTTCTGGTAGTCCTTGTTCTTCGATGGAGTTGATCAGACACTTTGATAGAAGTGTCTTCCAGATCAGATTTGCCCCTGGAACTTTGGACCCCGCGAATTTTAATCCTTCTGTTTGAAGTGCTGGGCTCCTCAGAAGTTGTCTTCATCCTTATAGATCGTGTTCGACGAATAGGATCACTTATAACATCAGCCAAACCATTTCCTAAATCATGTTGGTTGCTGAAAACTGAAGTATGTTCTTCCATATCACAATCAAAACCATCTTGATTGACTTTCCCTTTATATGATTTGCCCCTTTTATGGACGTGATCATAACTTCCCTTGTCAGAATATGGATGCAGTAGCTGTGGAGAACTAAATTTTCTGTCATCTTCACCTTCAGGTGCTTCTGTTACAAGATTAGGCCCCATTAAAGAGGAATTTTCAGAGATAACAATACCTCTAGCACCAGTTTGTTAGGCAACTGGCATTAAAAGAGAGAATAAAAGGATAGAAGAGAGAAATAAACAATACTAAGAGTATTTGTTTTTGGTGTGTCTTCTATCCTTTTATTCTCTCTTTTAATGCCAGTTGCCTAACAACTGGTATCAGAGCTCTAGGTTCGGGAGAGTATTCTTAGTATGCTCTGTGGTTGCAGTTTTATCTGATCTTCCACAACAGAAAAGAATAATCTTCAGTTTAGAGAGTGAGAGGAGAGTATTCTTAGTATGCTCTGTGGTTGCAGTTTTATCTGATCTTCCACAACAGAAAAGAATAATCTTCAGTTTAGAGAGTGAGAG